CTTACTAGTAGTAACAGGTGCCTTACTAGTAGTAACAAGAAGCTATTTAGAAACAAGTGCCTTACTAGGATTCTCAAAATTGCTCTCACACCGCATTAGTTGTCAGGAACTATGCAAACGCATTGCGGAGGGCATCCCGGACAGAGTGCACTCGTTTAGGGTTTGGGGTTGGACACATCGCTCGCGACTTGAGTCGCTCACGGACGTTCCAGAATCAAAGAGACCTTTGAGAATCATGATGCTTTCATTTCATTCGGTTTGTTGAAAGGACAAGTTTTTTCAATTGTTTGAAGCTTTCCACCAGCCCCAGAAGCTGAAGGAAGGACACGTGTCCCCTCCCACATGGGAGGAGCTGGAGAAGCGGTTCACCACTCTTGAAAAGAAGCAAGAGGATTTGACCAAGAGTGTCAATGAGGACCAGTTGCTTTGGCACATTTGCATTCGCAGATTCTATGGAGAATTGTTGAAGCCTCAGCATTAACTGCCCAGGAACTTCTGGAACGCATTGCTGCCTTGGAGCAGAAAGCCGCTACCGGAGGGACTGGAGGCCGCACCTGTGAAGCGTCCACAGCAGATGGACGACTGTAGGGTTTTAAGATGTTTGAAGAATGAATTGCACTCATTGTCCGGGATATCATGTCGAAACGAACCAAACATTGAACTAATTTTGATCTTTGCTCAAACTGACTCTGAACCTGGGCCCTGCACTGAACCTGGGCCAAGGAAATATCACGCTATTGTTGTCGGTTTCTTCCCAACCTCCGTGGAAACAGCGCTCTTTCGCGGGCGACCGATGCTCAACCGCTGACATGAAAAAGTTTCAGAAATGCAAATGCCAATATCACTACTGTAGCTATCGTGCCCAAACGCTGTCAACAGGGCGCAAAATGATCAAACAACTCACAACGCTGCGGCCCAACTACTCCTAAGAATGCTGGTACAAGGGTTTCGATCTATACTGGTAAAGCGGACGCTGGAACAACTACACCCTCTTGAGGGCCTCGGGCCCTTTTTGTTACCTCCGACCCCTTCCAAAACTCGTTTTGGCTTGCCAAACTTGATGGCTTGTGCAGCGGCACGGTTTTGCTGGTTTGAGGTGGAGCGCCACCCGCCGGAGGGGAAGGTGGAGGCTCTGTGCCTGAGGTGCGTGTCGGGGGTCAGGGGTGAGTGCAATGTGCCGGCGTCGGACGCAAATTCCTTGCTCCTAGTAGCAATGCCAGGAGCCCCTAGTAGCGTCCTTGCTCCTGGTATTTGTGGCTTGTTGGTGAGTTGGGGACATCAAACGTCTCTGGCCGTTTCCCTCCACAGCGTCCTTGAGAGAAGTAAGGGGGAGGCGAAAGTGAAACGGCGTTCTAGGAGCTATGGCTGTGCTGGTCGGACCTGTCAATGTTGTATGAGCTGGGAGAACTTGTTTGAATCTTCTCAGGCCAAGGGCTGGCAGGCTCTGTCATGATGTGTTTAGTGGGTATTTTCAGCTGCTTTGCGACCTGCACAGCCGGGAGATCTAGTCAATCTAGTCCAGGGAACGATCACCCATGGCGGGGCATGGCCATGGTGCGAGCCTATAGCTTGAACCACTTAAAAATATAGCTGGCTCAAAGTGCAGCATGTGATCATGATCGATTTCAAGTGCCTCCGTGCAGTCTAGCCCACCAGTGCGTGCAAAGGTGCATCCACAATGAGACTGCAAGGATTTGGACACAACCACGGCAGCAAGATGCAACATACAGCTCTGCAACCACTTCTAAAAAGACAACATGCAATAAGGCAGACAAAATGGCCGAACCTGTTTGGCTCGCTGGACGGCCATGGCCTTTGCCTCGGCCTTTGAAATCACCATCCTTGCCATCTGTTTTGCGACCAGAACTTGGTAGATTCAAGGCACCAAGGCCATTGCCACTGAGAAGAGGTGCAGTCCTTGAAACGATTGGATCTTCCCCTGGAAGGACCTCTCGGCGAGTGCAAATTGGGCACTTTTTAAATGTGGCTCGAGGCTTGCTGACGCTTCTGGCTTCACCTATCGTGATTCATTTGCTCTTTAAGTTTACAGACTTCTTCAACCGTTCAACCCAGCTGTTCCACCGCATGATCCTCCGAATTATTGTCTTCCTGGGCGCCTCCATATGGTTAACAAAGGCCTCGTTGAAGACGAACTTCGAGGCCACCACCAGCGCTTTGAGGCTTCACATGGCAGAGTCCTTTCAGCAGATGAGGATGCAACACTGGCTTGCCTGGAAGCTTTCTACCTTCATCATCTCGGTGAGCACAGGCGCGCAGAGACTGCAGAAGAAAGGTGGTCGGCAAGATAGCCTTCCAAAAATCATCAAAAATCACTCCAAATGGTTTCAACTCCAAGTTTGGTTTCAGGCTGAAGGCTTGACCAGGTCGAAGGCCTCCCTAAGTCAAGGGCCTTCCATCATAGTTTTGCGGAGCTGAGAGCATTCTTTTGCCTTTGGTATTTTGAGGGTCTTTACAGCTTTGTTCTGCCAAGTTCAGTTGGGATGACGCAAGTTTCATCAGGACTTTCTCGAACTACGCTCGCCTTGGCAGCGGTGAATTTTGGCGTGCGGGTGCTGCCGGATACGTGGACCTGGGACCTAACCACATCAGTGCCTTGTTGCAAAATGCTTTAATCCCCAAGGCAGCTTGCAGGGCATAATGATTCAGGCACTTCATAAGCAGGAGGATATGTAATTATTTTAATATATATATATATAAATGACTGGTTTTTTTGCAGATTGTTTTTTGTTTCCCTTTGGTTGGCTTTGGCCTTGGCTTTGGTGGCTGTTGGTTTTTGGCTACTGGACGGGCGGCTTTGGGTTTGGCTAGCTTCCTGGCTTTGGTGATTTCTAGGGTTTTGCTGTTTTGTTGCTTTGGATGGCTTCTTGGCTTTGGGTGTTTGGATGGCTTCCTGGGCTTTCGGCTTCCTGGACTTTGGAATTGGTGGCTGGCCCAGTGCTGGCCTTTGATGGCTTTCGCTAGCTTTTGGTTGCTTATGGTTCTTAGTGCAGTGCTTCAATGGATTCTGGGTGGCTTGGGGGGGTTCATGGACAGGGCCTGGTGTCAAGATCACGAGGTTCTCTCCAGTGATGCCACTAAACATGGCAAACCTGAAGCCAATCAAACAGCTTTTTGATATAACATGAATCATTTTTAGAAACACGTGAATGAACAACAGCAAGCAACAACGTCATCTATATACATAATACAATTGTTTTAAGTGCTTTCTGGGAGAAGAACAGCTACAACCGTCCTGAAGTACACAGAATGATTGGTGCTTTTTCAATCCCGCTGGCTATGGAGGCCTCAACGTGGTACTTAGAATACAGATCCGTTTCAAAAAGAATATGTGGCCGTTTTGGTCGGGGTTTGCAGTGCAGTCTTTGTTTACAATGATTTTGAACTTAGAAGGGCAATTTGTTGCAAACAGTTGGTTGGAACAATATCGAACATGTTCACTTTCAATCAATACCTTTAGAACGGCATCTCAGTTTGAAACGACGTTGGGAAGGCATTTCAACCAAACATTGGCAGGGAATTTTCATAGAAATCTTATTTCAAAAGCAATCTGCAAAAATAGAAGGCAAACACGAGAGACGACAGAGAAAACCCATGAAGGCCCTATCGCCTGTTGCACCCGGGGCCCCCAAAAGATAATCCCAAAGGACACAAATTGAAAACCGCAACCCCGTTTTAGAACACATGTGTTTTTTTCACTATGTGCGATCTGGGATCGCCCGCTTTTAGTGTGGTGAGGATCCCTATTTGAAGCTTTTGGATGCTGATGGCAACGGTGAGCTGACGGCGCAAGAAGTCTTCGACTTCGTTTTCAGTATAAGCAACCGAATCTGGCAGGTCTGCATGACCTCCCTGTTGGGTTTTTGCTTGCTAAGGTTGTTGAAGCCGCCAAGTGATCAGATACCCTGGAGTGAAGTGAAGGGGAGAAAAAGCAGAAGCAAGAACGCGCCCAAAAGTGCTGATGGAAATGATGTACCAAGTACAAGTGCACAAAGTGTGCCGCTACCTCCTATGTGCCAAGCTTTGTCCCGAGTCGTCTTTGCGATGCAAAACCCGCGCAATGCAGAGCTTCGGATCCTAGCCCGACGTGCGGCCATGGCGAGTCGCTTCATCGACTTTCTGATCATCATGGCATTTTTTGTTTGGCCTTGGACCTTTCTCTTTGGCTTGAGACCACGCTTGATCTTTGCCTTCGGTGGAGTGGGAGGCTTAGCCGTAGGCTTGGCCGCAAGGAATGTGGTTGGGAATCTCATCGCCAGCTTTCTGATTCAGCTGAACCGACCCTTTGTGGAAGGCGATGAGATTGAGCATGCCTCAAAGAACCTCATTGGAGTCGTCGAAGAGATTGGGATCATCAACACTCACGTCAATAGTCGAGACGGGGTTCTAGTGCATGTGCCAAACACTACGCTGTTGGACGATGTCGTGGTGAACATGTCCATGAGAGACTTTCGCACGATTCTGGAGTCAGTTTACCTGGTTCCGGACAGCGTGGAAAGCCTCTCGCAGTTGGTCGAAGATATCCAACATCGACTGGATACTTTCGAAGGCTTGTTGCAGGAAGAAGATGTTCAGCGTTTGCTACGACTACGAGGGGGTCGAATCAAGCTCTTCCGTCCACTCTGCATGTTCGATGGTTATTGCGATCTAGGGCTAAAACTCACGATTTATGCCTTTGCCAAGGGAAGCCTCTCCCGCAGAGACTTTCAGCACTTGAAAAGTCGATTGATGTTATCCGTCCACGACATTGTGCTCTCTCAAGGAGTTCAGATTGGGCAGCTTGCCACTTCTGATGTACGGCGACGGCGCAAGACAACAAATGTGGCGCCCAAACAGCGCAGCAGTGAGAAGAGCTCTGAAGGCAACGATGACCTTTTTAGTTGAGAGGGAAAGCAGATAGCTTGTGGAGCTTGCCGCGTTTGTGTGGAAAAAGATGCCAGCCTAGGTGTGTGTGTGTGTTCGTGGTCCTGACCACTCAGTGGGAAACTGATCCGCTTTGAGTCGGCAGGACGTTCACCATCGTTTGACCGCGATGGAGACCACCCACAAGAGTGAGCGTCAGGATGGACAATGTGTATGATATTGTCAACGCATCTAAGCGTTTGAGTCGGCTTTTGGGCCACCAAGCATGAGGGTTTTCCATCTGGTTGCCTCCACTGTTGGCCACAAGGAGATGGAGAAAAAGCTCGAAAGCAACAAGAAGGCGCTGGACTTAGGAAAGTCCTAAGTCGATGAAAGTCCCTGGTCCCTTCTACTGTAGTAGGTGGAGGACATCGCTACTAGTATCAGGAAGCTACTATACAATATACTGTAGTAACAAGGGCATCAATAGTAGTAACACGGGCATTACTACTAGTAGCAAGAAGCTACCAGTAACAAGTCCCTCCTATATTATCCTTCCATAGTGTATAATTAGGCGTGAGTTATGGCATTCTTGCTGAAGGAGCTCCAGCAGCTTGTGGCGGGCTTGGAGGAGAAATTTGGGGGCTCAGGGGCCCCAAGCGGTGATGATGGTGTAAAGAAGGGAGCAGAAGCGCAGATCATGAAGAAGGCGCACAGAGTGACAGCGCAAAATCGGTAGAACCAACTCGCACAGAAAAGGAGTTGTATATATCGTTTTGTTCTTCTTTTGTGGCCGAAGAATCGCCCGGCCGAAGTACAGGTGGCTACAAGGCTTCAAGACTTTGAGTCCCAGATCACTGCGCAGAGCCTCGGCTGTTCTAGAAGCTTACAAGCACCGTGACCTGATACAACGTCGCTACTAGGTTGGTTGGAGGCCATCGCTCTTAGGTTGGAAGTTTCAGTATCCTTGGCCTGTGGGCACAATTCTTCAATGCAAGTGCAAGAGTTGTGGCACGACACCTCCGACATCATCTAGTTCTCTTTCTCCCAATCAATCCCTTCAACCCACTATATACGTGCGTCCCCAAGCCCGCTTTGCCTTCTGAGAAGTTTGTTCAACCAAACCTCAGTAGTAAGGCGTGCAGCCCCAATGGGGGCCCTTTTCCAGTTGGTGGGATCAAAATTGGTGTCAACAGAATTGCTGCACATCGTGTCAAAGAATGGATTATGAATCCGGGGGCAATCGCTAGTAGGCTGGAGGCCATGGCTACTAGGTTGAAGGCCATCGCTAGTACAATGGAGGCTATCGCTATTAGGTTAGAGGCCGTCGCTAGTAGGTTGGAGGCCATCGCTATTCGTCTTCTCAGATGAAGTCCTTTCCGTTGAATTTGCTCCCTTCTCCCCGCTGCTCCTCGATCCGCTGCTCTCCGCTTCCTATTTGGTACCCTTTTGTGCCACTAAATCTTTGGTTCAAACACTCAGACCCACAGAGTGCTGCAAGAAATCACCAGGCCTGCACAGGACACCAGCAAGGATGGAGCATGCCTTTGACATCAATCTATCATGCTGCACGTTCGAACCACGTTCAACGGACCAAAGGGATCCGTTGGATGCTTCACCGCCATCGAATTCCCAGCCACGACAAAGACCCATAGCCTGTCCATTTCCCAAGAGTGGGAAAAAGCAGTCAGTGGAAGGTTTGAATGGTGAGGATTGAGTAGAGATGGAACGTCTCCTGACTAATTCGAAGCGCTATCCACCTGTGACAAGCATTGGAATTCACTCAGATGGCTCAGCAAACTCTGGCGGATTTCTTCGATCCCTTGCTATGGGGGGACTTGTTTGTATCTCATGAGGGCTTCAACGAAACATTTTGGTGCTCTTGCTGCACCAAGGCTGTCGAACGTGAGTACGGACTTTGACAAGAAGATCTCACACATGCAGCGCTCGACCGGCACTACTAAGCCAATTGATGGTGTTGGTGCTGAGACAGGTCTTGACACCATGGCGGAGGACCCCATCCAAGGGCTGAAAAGACTCCCCACCCCATTTCAAAGAGGGCTGTTTTCCCTATGGCTAGCCTGTGGAAGCGTTTTTTTGTGAGCTGCTGGTGAGGATGTGGACCAGTTGAAGTTCGATGTTGGTGAGCTGAAAGACCTCCTGACCAACAGCAAAGGGGAGGTGAACCACATCCGTCGCATTGTTTTGGCCTGTGAGCGGGACATGGAAGATTTCACCGCTGCAATGGATGCCGTGAACGTCGACTTGGATGAGATGCGCGCACGTGTGGATGCCACACACTCCATCATCACCAGCCGCCAGCGAGTGGAAGCCACAATGACAGCAGAGATTTCCACCATGCGTTTGGACATCGGAGATATCCAAGAAGCTCTCAAGAATCATGATTCATGGATGGAGGATGTCTCGAACACTTTGCAGCAGATGCAAGAGAAGGAGGACAACACCACGGAAGACTTGATCAACCTCAAGAACGTCCTGCTCTTAAAAGGTAAGACACACGAATGACAAATATGATGCGGAAGAATTGTGGAGGTCACTGCTACTAGGGCGGGGACCATCGCTCCAAACCACCGTCTCTGGTGTTCGCTCCAAGGAATTCAATACAAAGTTGGATGGCAAAGTGGACAATGTTGCGTGGAAGGAGGCCGCTCATCATCCATGCCATTTCGTTTGTCGTCATGGGGATAGGCAGACCGGAAAGCTGACTTTCACTACAGTCACTATATTTGCTATGCCCGGCTGCGCCATGCTTGTAAACCAATCTGACCTTTCTTGACTCAACACCTTTCTGTCTTCCTTTCTTCTTTTCTGTCTTCTATTTTTCTTTAGACCTTTCTTCCTTTTTGTTTTTCCCTATTCTTTAGACCTGTTTCTTTAGACATACAATCACCACAGCCCCTCTGCCAGGCATTTGGTCAAACACCGCTCCCCAAAAACGTCAGGCCAACGACGACTTGGACGCTGCCGTCAAGACGGTTCGGGACATGGTCTCCTCGTTGCGCCTGGATGTGGATGCACGCCGTCGCAAGGTCTCCGCTTGCGTGTCAGTCGGTCCATCGTTTGAGGTTTGAGGTTCCAGTGTGACTTGATAGGTCTAACAGAGCAAAAGAAGGGAACACATGTTCAAAAGTCTTATATGTAAGTCTTAAACATGTTGCCATGTTTGAAGAGTTGTGGCAAGGCATTCGAAAAACGAACATGGCTGTATGCGGCTGCACAAGCATATGATCAGACTTGCTTCCCAACGGGGCCTCTTCAAGAATTTGATTGATTTAACGGTATTTATACGATTTACATATGATTTCGGCAAGTTATGGGAGTCACATCCGGCCAAGTGGACACCTGGAAGGTTGATGAGATCCTCTCCACGATGCGCCATGACGTCACCTCGGTTGAGACGAACTTGGAGGAGTCCAAGAGCAAACTGGCAACGGATACGGATCATGCTGCTAGCCTCAATGTCAATTGGGACATGCTGTTTGAGCAGGGCATGGCAGTTGGCGTTGTGATTTTTTCATCCTCCGAGGCCATCAACGCGTTGAATGGCCGCATTGACTTCACCAACAAGGATTTGTCAGCCACACAGGACTCCGAGAGAACACCAAATGGCCTCCACCTACGTAGTAGCTTCTTGTTACTAGTGGTAAGGCCAGGAGCCCCTAGTAGCGTCCTTGCTCCTAGTAGCGATGCCCTTTGTTCCTAGTAACTTCTTGTTCCTAAAAGCATTCTCCATACATTCTCCATACTAGCGATGGCCTCCACGGAAGCATTCTCCATACTCGTTTGGCATCAGCTTCTCGAGTTCTTTGTTCGCATGGAAGTGGTGCAGTCGGCCAGCACCAGAACCTTCTTGTAGCTATTCACTGCTCGTGGTCGAGGAAAGCCTCCACACCACGCAAAATTCTTTGAGCGACTGCTTCAATGAGGCCGCTAATCTGAATCTGTGGCTTCAACGGTTTCAAGATCCTATATATCGTTTAAGTTGATAATATAGGATCTTTGTTATCCCACATTTTCCGCCTGATCACGAACGCCCACCCAAGGGAGCTTTGTAGCTGGTGGGGTGGGGTGCCACAGGTGGCAGTGGTGCGAAGTGACTTGGAGCGCTCCATTGCAGACACGGAGGCCCGCAGGTATGCACGGGACATGGAAGCCCACTATTGAGTAGCACAGGCACAGCTTAAGACCTCAAATCGTTTCAACGAAGTGACAGGCAGTTGAACAAATCCAATAACCATAGCGATGGCCTCCAACCTACTACTGATGGCCTCCAACCTACTAGCGATGGCCAATGATGGCCAGCAACCCACTAGCGATGGCCTCCAACCTACTAGCGATGGCCAATGATGGCCAGCAACTTACTAGCGATGGCCTCCAACCTACTAGCGATGGCCAATGATGGCCAGCAACTTACTAGCGACGGCCTCCACCCTACAAGCGATGGCCTCCAACCTACTAGCGATGGCCCCCAACCTAAAAGCAATGTCCTGCAACAATGGCACAACAATTTGTCAAAGGTTTGGTCACCCAAGTTGGGGCTCAGCATGTCGCAGGCACGAGCCAAGAACGATACCCGCCAGAAGCAGCAAGAAACCCTTGAGAAGATTGGAGATGTGGAAGCTTGGCGGGCAGTCAGATGCAGTCCGCTCTTCCCATCATAGCTGGAACGAGCGCGTGCTGAAAGGCATTGCCAATCTTGACTTTGTAAGGTGTTCCTTCCGTGTCCAAGATCGAACGTATCAACAAAGGAGACCGCAAAAACACGAACTCAATTTATTTTTTTTTAGATCCATGCTGCTTCAACGTCAACATCATTCGTGTGTCTACGCAACTTCACCCTCCTCCTCCTCCTCCTCCCCCTCATTGAAATAGTGTGCGTGTGTTTGGTTAGATTCATGTCGGTGGTTTCTTTTTTGATTATTTTCTCCTGCCTTCATGCACTGGGGCCGGACATGCCCACCGAAACGACACCCTTTGCCGTCATGCGTCAGATGCACGAAGCTTGCCACCTCCGCAAGAGTCTGTCATGTTCCTAAGATATGATCCTTTTCCTTTCAGATGTTTTTAATTCAAATCCTTACATATTTCTGTGCATTGTCCTTGAAGCTTCCTTCATTTTCTTGCATAACATCCACTACAGGGCAGTGAAGTGCCGCATTCCTGCACGATGACGCACAGCTGAGTCTGTGCCCCCACACCCCTTGGCGTTGCCGGGAGGGGACAAAATTAAGATACGGGCTTTGGGGGGCCTCGAGAAGTCCATGGCCAGAAGGCTCTCATAGCGGGACATGTTAGCTTGACGTGCATCGTTGACATCATGAACCAGACTGACCACTGGCCGGGGCTACTGGGAGGACATTTGTGGAGTCGGGGCACTGGAGGACTTCGCAGTACGATCACCGGGTAGGGCCACGCATTACTGAGCACGCATGACTGATCTTGTGGATTCCCCATCTACAGGCATTGAGAAGAGCTGAGGCCCCCATGGCCTCGTTAGAGGGGGTGTCGCATCAAGACAATTTTTTTCTTGAACATCACTCCCCTTGCAGCTTCAAGAGAGAAAGAGAGAGGAAAAGACACAAAAGGTGCACCGAAAGATCTTTGCCGAGCGAACATTCCCGCGCCAAGGAGCAGCAGGGGGAGCTAAGGGCCGCAGAAGCCTCTAGGCGCCTAGGGGCATTGGACCTCCGTGGCTCGGTTGGTGAAGGAGAAGAAGAACAACTCTCACGACATCCCAATTCTAATGACTTTAAATTACCTTTAATTCTAGATTCTTCTTGTTTCTAATAGCTTCTTGCTCCTAGTAGTAAGGCCAGGAGACCCTAGTAGCGATGCCTTTTGATCCTAGTAGCGTCCTCTATCCCGCCCATGTAACATGTATATCCATTCATGCCGAACATGTCTTCCCGGAAGACTGTGGCCTCATCGCGGAGTCCAAGGCATGAGCGGCGTACAAGGAGGTTTGGGCGAGCAGAAACGTGACATTCTGAAGCTTCGTGAAGAGGCGATGAGTCGACAAGGACGCTACTAGGGGCTCCTGGCCTTACTACTAGGTTGGAGGCCATCGCTACTAGGGGGCAGGGGCGGGCAAGGGGTAGGTGGTGGTTGGTTCGGTGCCGTGGGCTTGGCTTGGAAGCTACTAGTAACAAGTGCCACGCTAGTAGTAACAAGTGCCTTACTAGTAGTAACAATGTTTGCTATTAGAAACAAGTGCCTTACTACTAGTAACAATTGTCCACAGGTGAATGGCTTGACCGTGAAGAGCGCCAGCCACGAAGTTGACATTTCGAAGTGTGGGGATGCCACTTGGCCCATCTTGGTTTAGCCGGCGCTATGCTTTGGTACTTTCTTGCGAGATGAGTACATAATGAAGCAAATAACTATAACCATTACCACGGGTGTTTTGTGTCTTCTTCTCCGTTCATGCGCTTGTGTGTTCATTCAAGAAGCCTCAAACCCCTGGACCAAGAGGAGTCGAAGGGGGTGGAAGACTGGTGGCCCAAGTCCTTTTATGTATGAAGTTGATCCTACAGGTTTTCATTCAAACTAGACCCCACAAATGGGGACACAATATGGCGACACACTATAGGGTAAGTGGCATGCATTTAGATTTATTCTAAAAACCATTTTGGAGACCTGATCTTGCATCATCCAATCCTTTTCATGGTTTCAGGTCTTGACGTTTTGACCTCACGTCAACTCCAAAAACAGAGCACCAATTCAGGCTAAACGTCTCCGAAGCCCCTCCCGACGAATGTTAGTGTATATATGTCTACGGCGTGCCAGTCCTTCAAGAAGATGGAGAAGCAGCGCAATTTGGATGCACAGAACATCAAGGCTCAGTTGGATGCCATCCATGACGTGCTCGATACCAAGGCTTCGGCTTGAATGCATGAAACAAACAAAGGCAATCTTTGGACCTTCCAGTTTGATCAAGACAGGGCAAGAGATTTGCCGGGACGAGACTGATTGAAATTGCCAGCCTGGCAAAGAATAGGTCCAAAGAAAACAAGTAATGTTGGATCCTGATTAGTAAAGGGGGGTCCACCCCCCCCTCCCTCAAACAAATAGGGGACCTTCTATAATGAACTACCACCAAAACAAATCTGGATTCCTGTGAGAATTCCTTGTTGTAATTGATTGTAGTATTCATTTTCCTTTCATAGATTGTATATCAGCTAATGAATCATAATCATTGGCCTCAGGAGCTAAGTAAAGGAAGATTCCACGCGCAGTTTTTTCCAGTGGAAACAATTTTTCACAATTGAGAACCCCTAAAACAAATCTAT